GCTTCTGATTTTATTATTGTTTTTTTTTTTTTTCCTTCTTCATTTAGGATTCATTATCCAATACGATTTGTCAGGCCAAAGATATCGTTAACCCGATATCAAAAAGTATAGAGTAAACTTTAGTTAAGCCAATGCATCATTAGGTAGTGGATATAAGTGAATACTTGTCCCAGCTCGGCCTACGACATATCGTCTACATATGGCTCGGACATAAAAATGGCAGATGAGGCTTGCAGCCAAATAGAACCCTCCAATGATATTACTTTATATCAGATAGGACTCAAGCCAAGACAGCCTATTGCATTCGGGCTTACAGGGAAATGCAGTCGACGGAGACTTTTCCAGCGAGCAGCGAGCATAGACCATCGACAGTCAGCTCACCTAACACATCCGGCCAAGTCATACCATCTCCCCGAGACATCCACGATGATAGGGCTGCTATGCATAGGCTATGAGTTTATGGGGAAATAATGTGGATAATTTAAAGTTTAAACATGGCCTCAACATCCCCAGACTTCGTGGCACCACCATTGGTTGTGCAAGGCATTCGTTCGTGTTGTTTCTCGTCGTTGTGATAACTTCGAGCTCGACGTGGCTGACTACGACTTATTTCCTCTGCAGTGAATATTGGCCGCAAATACTCCGAGAGGTGATGAATAGTTGGGACAGTTCTGTTTGTGAATATTGCCTTCCCCAACTATGGGTTCAAGGTCACCCCGAACTATAGCTCTGTCGCCCCTATCTTTTAGGGACACAGGCATGACCGGGAATATATCTTCTTGCTCTTTGATGCAATTTTACCACTCCTGATAGATTCCTTAACTAAATTCCCAACGCACAACTCCAGCCTTCCCTAGACAAAGAAGATATGAGCTATTACATACTGACAGCAGACACCTCATAGCGGTCCACTTCCTACTATTCCATGTATATATGTTGGCTTTGTAAGAATCCATGTAGCTCTCTCGTACATAGCTGTCGGCGGTTCCGAAATCGTTGGGGCTATGCCTCATCTTCCCCTATTATGTAGCATTCGAGAGTTAAGCATTTGATCAAAGTTACTAAAATAGGAGAATGTTGACGAAGTGAAGGGTAGAACTGTCCACTGCTTCAGAAAGCTATGGATCGTAATTGGACATGCATGCATAGGTAATCTCCTGTCGCGCAACCCTGTATGGCAATAGGCAATAAACAATCCTTCAGAAGAGCCTCCTTGGTGATAGCTAGTTTTTGATTGTCTTACATAGCAATTCCCCTAAATCTAGCCACAGACCATGGATAGCCAAAACTCCTAGTTACATAGATGTAAAGACGGAGTTACTAGTTCTTGAGAGTGAACTATCCCCTAATCTCAATAAGCCGGTCGACTTCACGAGTAAAGATCAACATCGTAACACATTCAAAGTAGCCCAAGATAGCACACGCTCCAAACCTCTACTAAGAAGGTGATAATGAGCATATCGTTCTAGGAATGGATGGCGCGATGTCTTTACTTCCTAAAAACCATCGTCACAAGCATTTCTTCGATTGCAGGATGTGGCAGTGTACCATCCATGCATATAGAAAACACACGAAAACTCATCTCTAACATCAACGGATCCATTAAATCAAAACATTGATGAGCTAGGCACAGTTGCAACCATAAACAGCGATGGTAGGATACAAGCAAAGCAACACACATACACAGATTACCTAGCTTCTACGAGATATGCAGTGCCATTGGTAAATAAAACGTGGAGACTTAAAAGACCTCGGAGATTTACTTATATTGCAGAGCGACGTAGTTAATATGTGTTATGCCTTCGTAGATTACCTCTGTCCTCGCACTTGACAAGGGGAAAACTTCCCCTGAAGACACCATCATGTATATTTCCCAGACAACTCTATAGCATCTATCGTTACACCGGCCAATCAACGAGGATATAAGCCTATCACAAGGATATTTACTTAGAGCAAGATTCCATTAGTGTCACACACTGCAATACTTAGATTAGAGCTTTAAAGATTACAGTGGATAATAGTTATAATTGTCAGAGCCCTCTCGTAAATGTGTTATCAGCATCGATATAACATGTTGCCGCAACACAGATCACGAATAGTAAAGAGCTTCTATCATAGGCTGACATACGCGCCCCAGGTCGCATTCTAGGAAACCAGACGTAACAATTCAAGATGCGAAGGCGAGCCGCTTGTATCCAGAAATGTCAGATATGATGATATAAAAGCGTGATGGCCCTCCCCACCACCGGGCCGTTGTATATCACTGTCGCAGTAGCGAATACGAGCTTAGGGAAGCATATAGGCGACGCTTGTTAACCCTATGCCCTGGATATCTGGGTTAGGGCGAGGACGAATCCTGGTCTTCGATATTGCCCGCTGTCGGCTGAGACCTTGCGGCTAAATGTGTGCAACGTCGTACGATTCCCGATGTCCCGGCCCTACGGAGCCTGGCCCGGTGCGTTACTTCAGCCCCAGAAGGGTGCTTTGAATAAAGGATTTATGTCGGGGACTTTTGTGACGTAGGTCTCTGGAGACATGTTGTGTGTGCGTAGTTGTTCTAGTAGTAAGAGGTGGGAATGGATGGATATAATGGTGAATTCATCTTGGCTTCGTCATACTGGTGAAAGCGCTGCTCTACGCATGGCTTTTGGTAGTAATAGTAGTGCCTTTATTTGTTTTATAGATGCACGTTATATATATTCGGCATAATGAAGGATCCTGCTAGCTATACACCATTTATTTTACTATACCTATGTAGTGAATATGGACTACTAATTTCTACTGCGAGGCATATAACCCCTTTATTCTTACCTTAACGAGGACGATGACTTGACCCTAGGTCATTATATGGTGCTATGATGCCGTATTCTCGATAAAGGCGGCCAAGTCTCTAAAGCACTAAGTGCAACCAGGCGAGCCGAGACACAATAACCAACGATATACCGTAGTTAACGGGCTCAATAATTTAGGCTGGTTTAGAATACGAATCAGTGTAGGCAAGATTTATACATAGTTGGCTCATGTTTATAGACATCTAATGTATGAAATGATCTAGCCATCTAAGCTGGAGGGACGGTATGCAAGAAATACCTCGTACCAATGCCAACTCCTTATACATTAGCAGTAGCCCCTTTCTTCGCCCGTCCTGGAACAAGGGGGCGGTAGCTCCAAGTTCCTATGATTGACTCCGAACACTCTAGACGAAAGTTTTGAGTTAGAAAAGGAATCGGTTTGACGTTAGATAAACCTATGCAATGGCTTGCGTTTAAACTTCGAACTCTTAAGAATTCGCATCGGTTAGCATGTTGGCTATTTCGAGTGTTGCATCTCGAGGCTCTCCAAAGGGGAGGCCTGGTGTCAGTGATATGATGAGTAAATCGGAGTGGGTGCTTAGCTACTGATATGTGCTATAAGATCTACGAAATGCGAGGCGTTTATCTTATGAAAATCCCTCGTAAAAAGGTTCTACATTTAGAAGTATTTTATAACATTTTTTTCTTTTCGCTTGGCGAAGTAAATAAATAAAATCGAGAGGCATTTATGTTGAGAAAACGTACGTTCGAAGGGTTTAATATGGAAATTTTTAGACTAAACTTCTACTAACTAACTATCCTCCACAGTAACATATAGTTGAATCACCCTAATCGTGACGGCTTGAAGGCATAATCCCAAGCAAAGGCATCCTAGATATTGGTATATAATATATCTTAAATGCCCAAATCCCTCGGTGGCGCTGCGCAGCTTCGCGCCAACGATATCCCTCCCATCAACATCACACACCATACCTCCCACAGCGACCCATCCATACCTTTCGTCAGCGTCTTCTCGCCAGCTACATGGCGCTGCCCGATGAGCTCATCATTTGGCTCGCAGCATCATGCACCGCGTCCCCGCCCCTCGCTCCAGGTATACTACACAGCTCCCGATGCTGGCGACCCCGCACGTCTGGAAGCGGCTGCCCGGGCTCTAGAGACGAGTATTCTTGCGGAGCGCCATTAGGGCAGAGACCCCGCCGAGTGCGATCGGTTGGACGTATATGGGATGCCGTTCCTGGAGCCGGAGGGAGAAGTGGTGGCTGCTTGCGTGGAGCACCAAAGACAGGAGATTGCTTCCCGAGTCGAGGGTAAGGACTGGTATATCCAACGATATGACATCGGCGGCTGTGATTGGCGGAGGGCGTTGGTTATCGTGAGGAAGGGACAGGAGGGGTGGTTAGTGGAGGATGGGGCGAGGCGAGAGGTTGGTTTGGGTGTAGTGTTTTTCGATGCGGTTAGTCAGGAAGGACGAGATATTAGGGAGACATTTGGGAGCGGAGGGCAGAAAGCGTGGAGGAGGAAGAAGTCTTGATTAGGGAACTCAAGGCGGACTTGAATTGGCAGTACAGTGCCTCGCAGTTCGAGGGATGAGAACTTAGTAGTGTCTGTTTCCTCTCTAGGGTTTGGTGTTTGTCCATTCCAACCTCGTCGAATGCCGTGTTGCTCTTAGACTTGGCGTAGTATGAGAATGAGGTGGGGATGTGGCATAGACTGTAATATCCTTCTACCGTCTGCTATTCGAGAGGTGACAAGTGACCCCTGCGAAGGAAGCTGTGGAAGGACATATAGATATTGGGCAGTCCGAGTAGGTATGGCGCATTCTCCTTGAATAGCTTCTACCCTCACTTTGATAAGGAGCTGAGAAGGAGTGAGAAGGATACTAACACTGGAAAAATGGCGGGCCTCTAGATATATGATGAGAGAGCTTTGTGGATATTGCCATATGCTACTTATATTACTGGATAGATAATATTAATACCCCTGATGATTGATATTACCAATGCTCTAGGCGTCGCGATTTTAATACTGGGATATATGTCTACCTGGGTACACTTCTAGATCTAACCTCTAACTTGATGATCGACAAGAGGAACGGGAGTAAAAAAAGCTGCCGTAGAGCTTCTATTTCCACGACAAGAGAGGAGCTTGGCAAATATAAAATATTGTGAACGTGGTTGCCCGGAATTAACTTCTAGTTCTCACCCTCTTGCTAGTTCGTACTGATTCTGTGGAGGTATTGCTTTCAACCTTCACTACTTCGGCTACTACTTGGCGTCTTTTCCGGGTACGGGCTGGGGGCTCATCGGCCGTAATATCTCCAATTTCCTCAACTTTCACCTTGACATCAACAACTTCAACCTTGCCGGTTGCCTGCTCTGAGAATGACTTTAGGTTCGCGGTGAAAAGTACCGACTGGGCCCATCCCGCCTGAGGACCCCATATACTTCGAAAATGATCACCGACGGAGTCATACATTGCCTTGGAGAAGGTCTTCGTTTTGGTCTTGCCAAATTTGTAATCTCTCTGTGCAATCTGCCATACGTGTGTATCCACGGGAACTGCTTCTCCCCAGCCCAAGCCCATCAGACAGACGCAGTCTGAGACTTTTGGGCCAACCCCTGGGAGAAGAAGAAGCTGCTCATGGGCATGCTTGTATGTGGCTACCTCTACGGCTTTAGGTAGAGTCAATTTAGACCAGCCAGGATTTTCGGGGTTTATGAGACTTTCAAGCCAACCTTCTGGTTTCTCCTCACAGATTAAACGGGCTGTTTCGGCAATAAATTTGGCCCTGTAGCCAAACCCTAGTTCCCTGAGATGAGCATCTACTTTCTTTCCGCTAAGTGCCTGGGGTGTTGGAAAATCGTGAAAGGCCTCATCTCCAATGTGCCCAACTAGCGGGCCGTAGTGTATACAAAGTTTATGAACCTGTACAGTATTAGTATGGTTGACATCCTACCATGAAATATAAAGAATGTAATGATATACCATCTGAGAAATACGTGAAATATTGTTGTTACTACTGCAAATGAATGCGATCAGTGCTTCCCATGGATCTTGACTTAGAATCCTAATTCCCATGAACTTTGACGCTTTCTTCCGGAAGTTAGGATCGGACTTCGACCACTGGTCATACAGTGCCGTTGCTGTAGCATTTCGAATTAGTAGATGAACAATTGAGAGTTGTTAATATTGGGTTTTACCCAATGGCCAGTTCCGTTACCGTATTATTGAAAATGGGAGACGCTTATGCGTTCTTGGTGGTAGCAAGACATCAATTATCTTTAAATTTGAGATGCACTTACAGTCATGCTTTAAACTGAAATAGTGTTTAAGAAGAGCTTCAGTATCATCATAATTGATGGTATCGTTTTCATCTTTGATGGGTAATGGAGGCGTCAACGCTGATGGAATAGTTGTTGATGAAACTACTTTGTAGTGAAGATGATGCTTATCCTGCTTTAATGAGAGTAGTCGTCCATAAAGAACACAATTCCTAATAATATATTAATACTAATTGAGGTACTCGATTATGAGATAACATACCATTCATCATCTATTTTACGCCATCGAAAAGATTGCCCACAACGGAGAGTTGTTTCGATGCAAAGATCAGTTAGATTTAAGGGGAGCTTCCGCCACTCTGATACCCGTATAGGAGCCATGTTATTAGGGAAATAGATAATATATATGAGTTATCCACCGAGTTTATGATGAGAGGTATTATAGGTGGAAATGGTATATAGGTACCTATTGTAACTCTTAAAAAGTTCACTAACACTAACGTTAAAAGTTGTCTAATGCAGGTTACTTCAGCGTTTGCCTCCTGATTGCCTTTTTGCCTTTCATCTTTATCAAAAGATCCTTAAAAAGGAAAGCGGGGCATATTATCTGCTAAATCTAAGTGCGCTAACCCTAATATGGGTTAGTTACACTTATTGCGCTCCACTCTGGGCCAGCCAAAATTTCTATTTTCCAGCCGCGCTGCAGCTCCACTGTCAACAGCTTCATCCTACCGCCATACAATTACAGCTTGACATTTCTTTCAATTCCCCTGCCTTGTTTTGTTGCCCTTTTCATTCCCGATTAACAATTATTCATCTCCTATCAATCCTGAACTGCACACAAACATAGGAGAATAAGTTGATACTATGAACGGCGACAGCTATTCTTCTCGGGGTAAGGGTGACTATCTCCGTTTTCTATTGTTACAATTGAAGGGAAGCTGACAAAATTATTAAATCTAGACGCCCGTCATGGCTCATCTCGGGATTATCCTCGCGATGACCGCCGAGACCGAGGTGATCGACGAGACCGAAGGCGAAGTAGATCTCCTCGTCGGTCGCATCGTGATGGTAGGGATGAGGATGCTTATGCTTCTAGTCGAAGCCATCGAGACCGTGAGCGCGAAGATCGATACGGAGGCGGCCGAGATCGTAGAGATCGAGAATGGGATCGCGACCGGGGCTCGAGGAGAGACAATCGTCGCGAGGAGGTTGCACGACCACCTCGACGCGACCGCGACTTGTTTGAGGAGAGGCGTGGTGGTGCCGGTGCCGGTGCTGGCGCTGGCGCTGGTGCTGGCGGTGGTGATAGACGGGATCGCGAAAGGATTGATCGGATGCGAGATGAAGACCTCTTCGCGCAGAATCGACGAGGGCGTAGTCCAACACCGCCACCTAAAAAGCGGGAGCCGACCCCAGATCTGACCGACATCGTTCCTGTTTTAGAGCGCAAGCGACGTATGACACAATGGGACATTAAGCCCCCGGGCTACGAGAATGTCACAGCTGAACAAGCTAAGCTATCCGGAATGTTCCCTCTTCCTGGGGCGCCCAGACAACAACCCATGGATCCTACGAAGCTACAGGCTTTTATGAACCAGCCGGGTGGAACGGTGAACAGCGCGGCATTGAAACCAGGCAATTCTCGACAAAGCAAGAGACTTATCGCGTACAATATTCCTCCAGGTTCGACCGAGGAGAGTATCATGGGCTTCTTTAACCTTCAGTTAAACGGCCTCAATGTTGTCGAGAGTACCGATCCCTGTGTCCTATGCCAAATCTCCAAGGATCAGTCATTCGCCCTTCTTGAATTTAGACACGCTTCTGAAGCTACTGTTGCTCTCGCTCTCGATGGTATCTCGATGGAGCCCGATGATGCTACGAACGGTTCGGCTAATGGGAGCGGGCATGGCTTAAAAATACAACGGCCAAAGGACTACATTGTGCCTGCTGTTGCCGAAGAGACCCCGTATAAACTTGGTGTCGTTTCTAACGTCGTCATTGATACCCCCAACAAAATTAGTATCACAAACTTGCCCCCTTATCTCAACGAAGAACAAGTTATGGAGCTTCTGACCTCATTTGGCGAACTTAAAGCGTTGACCTTGGTCAAGGATACGGGAACCGAAGAATCTCGCGTAAGTCATGCACGAAGTACTAAATTATTTAGGCTTTTAAAAACTAACATTTAGTAGGGCATCGCATTCTGCGAATTTGTGGAACCTGCTGCGACGGACATTGCGATTCAAGGTCTAAACAACATGCTTATCGGCGACAAGAATCTCAAAGTGCGAAAAGCTAGCATAGGAATTACCCAAGTAGCTGGTGTGGAAATGGGTGTTAACGCTATGTCTATGCTCGCAGGCACCACTGCCAATGACTCAGAGGAGACTCGGGTGCTGCAGTTACTCAACATGGTGACGCCAGAGGAATTAATGGACAACGACGATTATCAAGGTAAATGCCCTGCTCCATTTTGTATATCTGAGCGCGCTAATTTTAAATAGAAATATGTGAGGATGTCCAAGAAGAATGCTCCAAATTTGGCCATGTGCTGGATATCAAAGTACCACGACCTACTGGTGGTAGTCGACAATCTGCGGGAGTTGGGAAGATTTACGTTAAATATGATACGACTGAGTCGGCGAAGAACGCTCTGCGAGCTCTTGCAGGCCGAAAATTTGCTGATCGTACAGTCGTAACGACATATTTCCCAGAGGTAAGCGTCCCCCCCCTCCCGTTCCCCAAGACAATTGACCAACTCTAACTTGTGATATATAGGAGAATTTCGAAGTAGGAGCATGGTAATGACGGAAAAGGGGCTTGTGTTACCCTTTTAATCTTAGGTGTAGTAACTCGATATATCGAGAATATGACCCACGAGTAGGTCAATTTGAGATATCGCAGAAATCCATAGGTTGCGAACTGTACAACAACAGACGTGCGCGAAGGGAGTTAGTGCACTAATAAGGTGAATTTATAGCACTATCGGATTTAAGGCCGATATACGTGTTCATCATTCATTAGAACGATAACAATAATAGTCGTTACGATTCATGGTCTGAAATGTGAGCTTATAGACTGGCTGCTATGCCTACCGGTAAGTTTTCGTTCTCGAGTAGAAGTGGGTAGAAGTGGTTAGAGCGGATCATTCGCTAGCTATTTTAAATCCCGTCATCTTAGGATACGGTAATGATCTACTTGTAGATTATGCTTAGGATTGTCATAAGGCTCGTATTATCTTGTTTTTGTATTTTAAACGAGTCATTCAGTCAGAGTATATGCTCTATTTACTATATTCCATACACCTCTACTGGTTTCGACGAACACCTGTAACCTGATATGGAGATCTGAACAGAGGCTCTCTCATCTATAGGTATGTATAAGCCAATAAACCTGTAAGCCAAGGTTTTGCCGAATATTAATGGTTTCTTCAATGGAACGTTAGCGTATAATGATTGAATTTTTACGTAACCTTTACTATTTTAACCAATATATCGCAGGTAGGCTTCTGAACAGTTGCACGCAGAGCGCGGTATTAAAGCATCTACTACTAATCTAGTTATTGTTTAATATTATTTTACTTAGGTCGTTTGTCTGCTAGATTTTCAATTTTTAGTGAAGCAAACACTTATTAAAGCCAGGATAAATCGTCATGGCTAAACAATCTATGTCGGAATATCTGCTTTCGAGTCCTGGGATAAGCGACCTTTATGAACGAGCTACGCGAACGCAGTTCCTCAGCCTTGCTGGTCAGGGTCAACTTCCCCCAGACGTGCTCTGCCAGTGGTTATCCCAAGATCGGCTCTATGCTGAGGCTTATATTCGCTTTGCGGGGGGATTGATATCTCGCGTTCAGCTACCGATCAGGGTAGATGAGCAGGACACCTCAAAGACGCTACAATGGCGAATTTTGTCATTACTGCAGACTGCTATGTTGGGAGTCACGAGGGAACTAAAGTTTTTCGAAGAGACTGCTAAGAAATACGGGCTGGACCTCGAAGCTCTCGGACCTGAGGCGGGAGGAAGTAACCTATCACATAAATCGGCTATATTCGGGCCTAACAAAGCAACGAAGAACTATATCGACTTATTCGACTCATTCTCTGCGAGACCTAACGGGGATTTGTCCAAGACTCTCCTAGATGGGCTCGTGGTACTCTGGACTACGGAGAAGGTGTATCTGGACTCCTGGACCTATGCAAAGCAACAGGCTTCAGAGAATGTAGATACGAAGGGGGATCTTGATAGCGGGGCCTTAAGAAAGGAGTTCATCCCTAACTGGACCTCTGAGGAGTTCCAAGCTTTTGTGAAGGAGTGTCAAGAGTGCCTGGATGCTTATGCTGTTAGTCAGGATGAGGATACGGAAGAAGTCATCGCGGCAGGCTCTATGGTAATTTTCAAGAAAGTCTTGGTGCTGGAAGAGTCGTTCTGGCCGATGGTAGCTTGAAGATAGGTATGCTAATGAGAGAGTGGTTGAGTTGGGGAGATGAAGGTATCTAGAATGAGAGATTATTACCTAAATTTGTATATTCACGTGTGGCTGATGTAGTTATTGCTCTAGATATCCCCTGTTATATTAGAAGACTTGATTGATGTCGCTTGCTTTCATTTAAATGATATGTAAAAGCTGATTAAGTTGAAATAGTTATATGCTGTAGTTGGACAAATAGGTACCTAAGTCTCCATGTTGAAGGGCAGAAGGGGTACCTAGGTACTTATTATAGTGGATTTCTATCGTTCGCTTAATTCAATTATCGGGATAGAACCCCATATTTTATCGTTGTCAGAGCAACGATGGCAATTAACCTAGCAATCAAAACAGTCAACAAGCGATAAGGAATAACTCTAATTGATTTATTTATTAACTAGATTAATTACTCCACATCATTTGTCTTCTTGGGTTGATCTTCTCAAATCTGTACAACATCGAATAATACTAACGACACAGGTCCTTTCAACCGAGGTTTGTCACTATTGCCATTTTCTAATCTCAATACCAAAATGGCTGCCGGTGATCTTATCGACTTTGATATAATCGAGGGGCAGAAGGAAAATATTCAATCCTTGCCTGGAGGACGGTCGGCAAAGAAGCTTGTCGAGGCCTTTTCGCCTTCCCCTTTACAACCTTTACACAAACTTTCGACACCTACACCGTCGGATACCAAGAACATCAACGATTGCATCAGAGCCGAGTACGAGGCCGAGATCACAAACATTTCTGAGTCGGACGACCCTCTCGACGTCTTCGACCGATATGTTCGCTGGACCTTTGACGCATATCCATCAGCGCAAGCCACACCCCAATCACAACTACATACTCTATTGGAACGTGCTACCAAAACTTTCATTGGATCAGCCCAGTACAAGAATGATCCGAGGTATCTAAAGCTGTGGCTTCAATATATCAGATTCTTCTCCGATTCTCCTCGGGAAACTTATGTCTTCCTATCACGCCATAACATTGGCGAAGGACTAGCCCTATATTACGAGGAGTACGCTGCCTGGCTAGAGAGCGCAGAGCGTTGGGCGCAAGCTGAGGAAGTATATAAGTTGGGTATTGAGCGAGACGCGAGACCAGTGCAAAGATTGGTTCGCAAATTCGGCGAATTTGAGAAGAGACGAGCACAGCAACCCGATGCGGGAAACACCCCGTCATCGCCAGCAATACCTACAGTCCGACCTGCACTAGTAGCCAAGATCGACCCCTTCGCTGCTCCGGCACGGCCAGCCGACCCTCAAGCTCCGAGACCAAACATGGGTGTCGGCGGTCAATCTTCAAAGCCTTCAAAGGCTAAACTCACAATATTCTCAGATGCTGATGCTGAGCCTAGCGCAATGTCAAAGATGGGAGAGGGCTCTAAGGGGTGGGATACAATAGGATCATTAGGGGACCGCAAGAAGGAAAATATGGTAGAGGCTAAGCCTTGGGCGGGAGAGACTTTGACGACGCAGGTGAAGAAGAGTAATGGTCCGAAGATGGCTATATTTCGGGATCCTGTAAGTTAAAACTTCCATCCCTATGCGGCAATGCCCATTTGTTGATGGAAACAGGACTAATTTGTGGCGATTGCGCGATTGTATATATTTAGTCTTTGTCTAGAATAGCAGACTCTCATATTGTCATTGCCCCGTCTAAGCATCAAGTAATCGTGAATCCTCAAAGCGGGAAAAGAGAGCGTGTCTTTGTTAATTTAGACGTTGTTTATCCAACTCCGGAGGAACCCGGAACCGAACTTTCTTTCGAAGAACTTTGGGCCGTAAACCAAGGTTGGCTCGATGTATCCTGGGAGGATGATAGCTTCGCAGATGAACTACAAGAACGGACTCTTGGGCAAGGTTCGGAAGTAGATCTGCTCAGTAACCAGGTCGCAGAGAAATTAGTAGTTCACCAAGATGTGGTAGAGCTGGATGAGAACGGGGCAATCAAGGAAAGCTCACGGCCTGCGAAAAGCAAAAAGAAGAAAGTGATGGAGTATAACGAGACCCAAATCAGTCAGTTCATCCCGCACCTACCTAAGAATACTTTTTTACTCTACCAATCAAATAACAAGATCGCTAATTCTTTCGCAGTCAAAGCAAAACTGGACTCACCTTCAGGGCCAAAAATTAAGAAAAAGAAGAACAACGCTGCAAATTCTGAGCCTACTATGACTATGCACACTAGAGCGGCAACTGATGATATTTATGATATCTTTAACGCCCCTCTCAAGCCTGCACAAGAAGAGGAAGCGGAAGAGAGCGAAGAGGAAGAGTACACGACAGACGACGATTATACTAGTGGTGGAGAGAGTGTTAACACTACTAGACGAATTTCAACCAGTGAGGCTGGTGATGACGATGAGATACCTGATGACAAGAGCGTGAGCGAATGGTCCGAGTTCACAGTGCAGAAGCACATCCCGAGATTAGACGGCAGGAGCGATAACGAAGAGGAGGAAGAGGAAGGAGAACAAAGCGACGAAGAGATGTCGGACCTTATTGACACCAAGGATCACCGAGAGAACGATGCTGGTACACCAGAGGACTCTCCTCCAAGAACAAGATTTATTCCTATACCACCTGAAGATTACGAGGCACCTACGCGGCCGTATAGGGATCCGGCCGAGGTAGCTAACAACCGCCTCCCGTTCATGACACCTATTACGGAACGCACAGAATCTTCTCTTGGTCTAGTTACGGGAGCAAAACCGCGTTATGACGGTACGAAGACTCCCAACGGCCGCCATATCGACCTACCAGAGGAGGATGAAGATGAGGATGAGGAAGACGACGAAGACTTCGGGCCGCTGAGTAGTCCTCTGCGGGAAGTGCTTAGTGAGCGTCGATCTCCCCCCAAGATCGCACAACCTCTTCTTAAAAAGCTCAAGACAACGGCAACTGCAACTCCCCCTAGCCAAGGGAAGGCAAATGAGGTGCAGAAGGGACCAATTATCAAGGAACCTATGTGCAATCCTGTTGATACGGCTATTCGAGAGGAAATTCTTACACATATGCGCCCATCGCTGAGCTCGTATTCTGGATTTTATGATCATCGGACCGAGCGATGTGATAAAGGCGCTGAAATCCGTAAGTTCGTCAAAGCCGTAGCAAAGTCAGGAGGCAAGAAAGATAGCGAAAAGACCGGTACTATTCACACTCCGGTTGTCCTCGAGTTTCCCGAAATTATGGGCGAGTACACTGTGAAGCGGGAGTTAGGCGCTGGCGCATTCGCACCTGTCTATCTCGTTGAGAATTCATCGCCGGAAGATGACGAAAACGACGAAAACGCCCCTGTTGCCATGGGTAAAGGTGTTTTTGCTACGTCCCGTCGCGCTACCCTTGAGGCCCTAAAGATGGAACACCCCCCTACGGCTTGGGAATTCCATATGATGCGGCTCTCAGCTTCACGCTTAGGCCCACATCACCGCGCTACAGCCTCCATTTCGGCCGCGCACGAATTACACCTATACCAAGACGAGGGATTCCTATTCTTACCATTCCACCAACACGGCACTCTTCTTGACGTAGTCAACTTCTTCTGCGAGTCATCCAAAGGCCCTATGGACGAGCCCCTCGCCATGTTCTTCAGCATCGAGCTCCTGCGCACCGTCGAAGCTTTGCACTCCAAGCAAATCATGCACGGCGACCTCAAGCCCGACAACTGCCTGCTCCGCCTCGATGATACCACTCCGCCCTCAGGCCCCTGGCGAGCAGATGGGTCCGCCGGCTGGGACGCGCGCGGCGTGGTGCTGATAGATTTCGGGCGCGGCATCGACATGCGCGCATTCGAGCCGGACGTCCAATTCGTCGCGGACTGGCGCGCGGACCAACACGACTGCGCCGAAGTACGCGAGGGCCGCCCGTGGACCTGGCAGCTAGACTACCACGGGCTGGCGGGGACGATCCACACCCTGCTATTCGGGAAATACATCGAGACGGCGCGCGCGGACGCGGGCGAACGCGGGCTATGCACGGCCGCGGCGCGCAGGTACAAGGTCCGCGAGCCGCTCAAGAGGTACTGGCAGACGGACATCTGGGCCGAGTGCTTCGACCTGCTGCTCAACCCCGGCGCGCACGTCGAGGCGGAGGAGGCGGCTCGCATGCCGGTTACGAGGGGCTTGAGGAGAGTCAGGGAGCGCATGGAGAGGTGGCTGGAGATGAATTGCGAGAAGGGCGTTGGGTTGAGGGGGTTGATGGCGAGGGTGGAGGCTATGGCGAGGAGTCGGAGACACTGATTTCGTTCTCGGTCACTCTTGTGGTTTATACTTGGGGTTGGTTGAGGGGTTTTCTTTATTTTTATTTTTATTTTATTTTCTACGTATTAGAAGGGATGAAAGGCTGGGGGACGAAGGATGGAGGTTGGAGGTTGGAGGTTGGAGCGACGATGAGTTATTACTAACGCTTGCACGACGACTTTGCATCATCACCAGGGCGTTACTGGATAAAATTCCGTTTCTGTTTCCGTTTCCAAAGCACGGATGGAAAGAAAGAAAGGGTGGGCGGCTGCTATATTCCCACTTTATGATATTTGGTTGGGATCGGAGCGCATGATACTTTTATACATACGATATGAAATGGTGGCGGATAGAATTGGTTCGGTTCTTATTGAACTAATTCGCCTACCTACTCTCATACATACCCTCATCGCGTAGAATTAGTTGTTTTTTTTTTTTTTACATGCTTGCCATACCCAATACGCCTTGCAATTTTCCAGATCAATACAATAATGTCCTTTACAAAGAGTGTTCAGACCCTGACATAACCTAACTTAACCTAGTATAACTGAGACAAACATACTTGGTTGGTGCTTTATTCAGAATCCTCATCCGAAGCCACAGCTTTCTTCTTGCCTCGCTTCTTCGGAGCGGCCTTCTTCGCATCCTTGACGCTCTTGCGATCAACCTGATCCTGGATCTTGCTACGCTCGCCGGCGCCCTCGGCCTGGAGTCGGGTATCAAGTGCCTTGAACTCGTCGCTCTCGGGGTCCATGCCGATGAGGCTTTCGAGGAGCTTGATCTCGTCGGCCCAGATCTGCTTGTCCTCGACGGACTTGCCGTCGGGGCCCTTGCGGTCGATAGGGGTCTCGAGGACCATGGGCATGCCTTGGAAGGCGGCGTGGTTCATGACGTTGTGGAAGGCGCGCAGGCCGAGGAAGCCGGTGCCGATGTTGGCGTGTAGGTCGCGGTGGGAGTCGAAGGGTGCTTTGGAGTCGTTGATGTGGAAGGCTTTGAGGTATTCGGCGCCGACGATGCTGTTGAATTTGGACATGGTGTCTTCGAAGGCTTCTGGGGCGCGGAGGTCGTAACCTGCGGCGAAGGCGTGGCACTGTGGTGTAAAGTTAGCTCTGTATGTATGTAGAGTAATATGGAAGATGCCTACCGTATCTATACAAACTCCAACGCGACTCTTATCCTCTACGAGTTCGATAATATCTCGCAGGTCTTCGAACTTGCAACCAATGACGTTGCCCTGCCCGGCCATATTCTCCAACACAGTTATAACGGTGCTCGTCGCCTTATGCGCCTTGTTAAGCTGCGTCGCTATCCTACCGATAGCCGCAGATCTAGAATCGCCATTGGTATTTCCCGGATGGAGGTTATACAGCTTGATGCCGAGCGACTCGCAGCGTTTCAAATCATCCAGAAACGAACTATACGCCTGATCGGCCTTTTCCTTCTCCGCCTGGGCAAGATTCACGAGATAGGAGCCGTGCGGAAGACAATGCTTGTGGACTTCAAACTTGTGCTGTTTTGACAAGGATTGGAACCCATCGAGAGCTTCGGGCGCTATGGGAGGGTTGGTCCATTTGCGCTGGGACTTGAGGAATAGAGCGAAGGCGTTGGCGCCGATGTGGACGGCGTTGTTGATGGAGTTGTGCACACCTTAGGGAATGGATGTGAGCTTGGAATGAGATATTAATAGTTTTAAGGGCTTGAGTTATCACAAACCTCCTGCACTACTGACGTGTGCGCCGATGTACATAGACTTCTTAAGGGTATTGATTATAGTGCGCTTGGCGAGGGCCATTAGATCTTCAGTCTTTGCCTTGGCAGCAGTCTTGCGCTTCTTCCCGGCTTTAGGTTTCTCGGCGACAGGCTCGTCCTCAGCTTGGTCCTCTTCCTCTTCCTCGTCTTCGATCTTATCTGCCTTTCGCTTCTTGGAGGACTTGGGTTCCTCGATAACAGTAGGCTCCTCGTCCTTGATGTCTTCTTCGGTGGCTTTGGATTTTGTAGCCTTGGCTTTTGATGTCTTGTTAGTAGGGGCACTGACATTGGCGGCAGTATCCGCAATGGCTTTCTTAAGCCGAGATGACTGGCGAGGAGGCATTGTTGTATATGATTTGGTTTGTTTTACAAGTAGAAATCAAGGTGAGTGAACACGTGTAGATACAAATAAACTCTTATATTCTCGTAGAATCACGATATGTACCTAAGGTAGGTAGATAGGGGATGAAAGTGTACTATCTAATCTGTTACATACCGAGATTGGCGTCTGACAGCGCGTCTGATCGCGAAAAGTGATGGCCCGTGTTCACGTGTCGTCAATTAAATCTTACAACTCCTTCCTTTTTTGCAATCTTTTATCGATAAGCCACTTAACCCAGATAACGAGACAGCCACTTCATATATATTGCATCTCCAAAATACATCCATATGAACTGCAGTATACCTTACTACCTAAATGTATAACTGGTAGTATACATGTAACTAACAGTAAATTCCACGGTAAATTCCAAAACCACAAGCTGACGTCTCAATATTATCGGTAAACGAATTGAGAATAGCGATTATCAATTACAACCAATAGGTAAGCTTAGCAATGCTCATCATCAGTTCTTGTCGTATGAGAAAAAGAAAAAGCAATAAGAACACCCACGCCTCGGGCAACTTATCTTATCGTCCGAGACATCCGCGTCAATAACCTCAACAACTGCCTCTTTTTCAATTTCTCAATTAGGTTATCTGATTATGTAGGTACCTAGGTAGGTAGGTACTTTGCCATCTATCCTATCTGCCCATCTATATATATCAATTGCCTACTACACAGTATATACGAAGTAGTATCTAAGTGAGACCCCACTATCTGAGGGCGGGGACCCTATATGCCAATGTGCCAATGTTGTTCTGATTCAATGCCGTGACATATTCAAAACTGTCATAAACGAAAAACACTGACATGGACGGGGTGAATATCTCAGCGTGCGGCATAGCCAACTGCGCTTGCGACAGAAATTGCAATAGATCACACGACCACTTGCGAATTCGGGTAAAGTCCCTCGTGGTCGAGACTGTCGAGGTGCTCGCCTAGCAACTTGGCGATGTTTCCTGCAGTCTACTTGCAGCCTACTTGCGGCGCCGAGGAAAAGCTTAGCTTAGCAACATCAATACAACTCTTCAGTCTTAACAAAACGTATGAGAAAACTATTTTTGACCAACCACCTCTCGATACTAGGTTTTTTTTTTTTTACTACCTAGGTCGTATAAGGTCGGAACTAGTGTAGAACCGGAGGGGGCTCGGCTTAGTGTACCTAGTTGTTTTTCTCTTACAGAATCTTCCTCGGCAGGTCCAGCGCCTTCGCAGCTTCGGTCACCGTCACCCTCTTGGATCATCCTTGTCCATAACGTCAAAAGTAAACTTCGGCCCGCATATACCCCTGTCCACAACTCATGTACCAAACAAGCTTTTTTTCTAGGCGCTGGTACTTATCCCCGTCGGGAGGATGTCGCTTTCCTTAGCGTCTCGCAGGGACCTCTGCCGAATCATCTGGCCTAGGAAAGAAACGTGTTCCAATTCTTGATTTTGATTGGTTCATCTATCGTCGCCTCAAGATCCAGAGATATCTTTCTCGAGCTAACATCTAAACTTGATAGTTCCTGTATCCAGAACATCTTTTGCGAGGAGTACATACCTCGCTTCCCTTTTACGTCAACGAATGAAAATCCCATCATTGTTTTCTAGCTGCCACTTTAAGATTACGTTCAATAATCACTTTCGATACTGTGATTACACGTGTGGCCTATTACGGGTCGACATTGGATTGCTCTTGAAACTTCCTTCTCCCCATCTATATCCTGTTTTTGTCGCTCGCGTGCCCATAGTTAAGTCATGTACTGATGTATTTGACGGCCGCTGACGCAGGTGATGCAGCCCCATCGCCAAGAGGATGGTAGACCCGCATAGTACATAAAGAAGTTCGGTCCCCTATACAGCTTTGTGGGGGATTGTGAGGGATTGCAACTTACCAGTCAGAAGCCAAGCATCTCCATCGTGCCCCAGTACTACCTAGTACCTAGTCCGCATAGTCCACCTAGTCCATCTAATCCACCTAATCCACCTACTAGTCTATCTACATAGTACAACTAGTTCTACCATGTAAATCCACTGACCTAGTACTATTAGTCTCTACCGAATCGTAACATCTCTAATCGATTGAAACATAACCCTTCATGAGGTAGCTCGCCACGGTCACTCCGTAGCAATTTTTCTTGCTTAATAACTCGTTATTTCTATTTTATATAACTGTGGGCTTGGCCGTTCTTCTCCCTCCCCAGAAGTTATAAATTTTGATTCTTCCATTTTTGTAACTACACTTATTATATACGTGCTCAAGTTACTATCCCGTACCTTGACACTTACATCTGGGGAAACGCCACACAAGCTTTACTAGTCGCGTGCCTGTTATTACAGAACCTTTTTTTCACCAATTCCTTTAAAGCCAAGACGGCGTAACCTCACGTCAACCTTATAACAAAATCCTAATAGAATATACTTTGCCGAGTGTCTAATACCTTCGGGACACCTCCCCTCCCCTCCTCCTTTCTTCTCCGCATCTCTATCCGTTAAGCCATGGCGAATTTGCTTCGCCGCCATCACGAACATGATCCCCCGATAGGAGAAATACCCGTGCCTCACGGCCCCGAGACGGGAGATGAGCACCAGCACTACCCTCGAAGGGCCTCTGCTAGCTACGCCACCGATTACGAGAGGCAAATTTTCTCTCATCTAACGCACCCTGACGACTCGTATACGACTGATGGCGTCTACTGGGCCGACTTACCCTTCTGGAAGCGCTGGTCTTTCGTTAGCAAGGTCGACCGAGCTGAGAGCGCCGAAGAAGCCAAAAACATCTGGGCTATGATCAAAGAAGATCCTCTTAGCCCAGTCTCTTGGTACTTCCGGAACGCCATTTTACCCGGTGCCGGACTGGGCTTGGAAGGCTACGTTCTCTTCTCCATCGGAAATCTAGAGCCTCTCTTCGAGAGCGTTTGGGGAACCTGCTGGGGCAAGGCTGGTACTGTGTGTACCAAGAACTGGGTGGCCGCTGTGACCTACCTCGAGATCATTGGTATCATGGTTGGCCAAGTCTTTGTCGGGGTAAGATCTGTCTTTTCCATCAAATCCTCACGGACTGAAATAGGGGAATGTTACTAACAGCTTCTTTTTATAGATCATTGGCGACTGGGTTGGTCGAAGATGGGGTTTGATACAAGACGCCTTGGTTATGCTGCTCGGTCTTCTCATGTTAACTGGATCTTGGGGTACGACACTCCAAGGTTGGGTCATCATGTACGCATGGTCCCTGTTCGTTTACGGTAAGAAATCTCGAACCTGCAATTTGCGCGCCCTTTGGATATTCTGAGGACTAACACGTGTGATGCTAGGTATCGGAGTTGGTGGTGAATATCCTATCACGGCTACATCGTCTATGGAAAATGCTGTTACTGCCGGCAGATTATCAACCAGAGATGATCGTCTCCACCGTGGTCGCAAAGTTACGATGGCCTTTTTGATGCAAGGCTGGGGTCAGTTTGTCAACCAAGTTGTACTCATTGTTCTATTGGTGATTTTCAACCGCGGTAGCGGTGAGGCTCCCTACTCCGCAACTGCCGCTCAGTATGCATTCCGCTTGTCCTTTGCTTTCCCAGCTATCGGTACTTTGTGGTTGGCCTACTACCGTACTTGGAAAATGAAGTCCGCCAGCAAGCAGTTAGAGGCGGCCAAGAAGAAGTCAAACGTGACGGGATACGATGTTCGATCTCTTAAGCTGACAATCGGTAACTTTGGCGGACGTCTACTAGCCACTGCTGGTGGGTGGTTTTGTAACGACGTGTTCTTCTATGGCAACAAGCTCTTCCAAAGTAAGTCCTCACGCAAACCTAACTTTTCGACCGCATAGGCTTACATGGTTTTAGGTCAATTTATCAAAGTTATCTCTGATAATCCCAATTCGATCATGACTACGTGGACATGGAACTTGGTCAATGTTGTCGTTTCGCTTGCTGGCTATTACGCTGCTTCCATGCTGATTGACAACAAAATGTATGGCAGGAAAACTATGCAACAGGTAAGTCTTATTAACCATCCCCCTGTCTTTGTATATGCCACTAACATTTACCCAGGTTGGTTTCCTGATGTGCTTCGTCATGTTCGTGGTTCCGGCGTTTCACTACGACTACTACAGCAGCCCCGCGGGGATTCACGCTTTCCAGGCCATGTACTTCCTATCGTCCTTCTTTAACCAGTTCGGACCCAACTCGGTTACCTTCCTCGTCGCCGGAGAGGTTTTCCCTACTCAGATTCGAGCCAGCGCCCACGGGTTTTCGGCCATGATTGGAAAGGCCGGTGCTCTCTTAGCTTCCGTGCTATACAACTATATCGATACCCGAACTAAGTTCTACGTCGTTCCCTGGTTTGGTCTTGCTGGCATGCTCATTACGTTACTTTGGCTCCCCGATACGACTGGTCTTGATCTTAAGGAACAGGAGCGTCGGTGGCAATACATCCTTGATGGCCGCGAGAACGAGTACCACGGCATTGCCATCCACCCTCAGCACCTTTCGCTCTGGGAGAGATGGACTGGTGTCGGAAAGAACTATCACCCCGACCTGGACATGAAGGCTAAGATTAGGGACATGCGTGCCGACTGGGAAGAGAGAGAGGCTGCTAGAGCTGGTAGCGATTCGGAGTCTGCGGCCCCGGTTGAAGACGACGAGGACTACACTCACGAGATCTACAACTACTTTAAAGGCCACGCCCCCAGTAGTGTCAACTCGCTAAAGCATGAAAAAGGGGTAGACAGGTCGTCACCTTCCAACTCGAAGAGCGCGCCTAGCGATACGATAGAAGAGCAAACTCTGAACGAAAAGACCCCCAAGGCTTCTTCGTCGAGCTAAATGGACGCACTTTGGTTATGTATATGTTTAGAGTAGGCACCTTTTTAGGCCAATGTGGGATTGTGATGACATGCTCATAGAGTGAGGGCTGAATGAGCCTAGGTATGATTTTCGATACGGCTAGATGATCGATAGCATGGCGTTAGAGGCGAAATAATTGATTTGATAACTATTCCAATTACATTATATACTTCTCTTTATTAAATGTATTATTTGATGCAGTGAGATTAAATTATTCTCGTAGGTTACTATGTATTAGGTCCATACCCCAGTAAGTGGAATTGTCAAGTGACAGCGCGTAAATGAGTCTCTTCGGTCGCGTCAAAAGTGGGTGTCATTACTCGTAAGTACCGTAAACCGACCGAGGGGCAACATTTCTTTTAGCACCTTTAGCACCTTTAGTACCTATAATCATTCCCCAAAGAAATATACAACCTCGTCTATTTACCTAACTAACAAATTGACCATGAAGTTTTCACATTTCGAACTTGCGACATTATTACCGTAGAAGAATTCGTGATATGTTCAATTGCGCAGATTCTCCACTAAATTCTTTCTCGCCATGTCCGCCTCTACAAAGTCAATGACCCCTCGAAAGCAGTCGAAGCTAAACTTCGGCTCTGCAGCGAACGGCAAGGGTGGGAAGACGCCCATTGGGAAGAAGAAGCCACCGGCAAATGGAAACATACTTAATTTCTTCCAAAAAGTCGAAGTAGAGGAACAGCTTTTCTGCGCCGGTCCTACGAATACATCCGCTTCTACCCCCAACGTTGCGCCGCCGACACCGAAGGTCGACGAGGATCTATTTGGAGATGAAGGCATATCTCAGGACGCTGAAAAGGAGGCGAGATCTCCTAAAAGAAGAAAACTGAGCCATGATGGAAACGAGAGTCTACCGCAAAACTCGGAGAGTACACGGAGCGAAGAATCAGATCAAACGAAGTCAACGGTGTTAGAACAGACGGTTACAAAGCGATCTCGAAGGAAGGTTCCATTTTTAATCGATTCCGATAGCGAAGAAGATGATATAGAGTCCTCTCCATTACGAGATACTACAGATATTAAGGCAATTGTTGCCTCGCCCGAAATAAAAAACGAAAAAGCCGAATTAGACACGGCCCCGGTACCGAATCTACCGGTGGACGAGAGTTGTCCGGAAGCCCCCGACATTCCACCCCTTAATCAAGGAGAGTCTGTATATGACGAATTTAAAGACCTTGAGGATGTAGAAGGGTTATTTGATGACGTTGAGGAGGAGTATGCTGACGGCGAAGAATTCCGGGAAAGGCGTTATATGGAAGAACAGGCGCGACTCGAAGCTGAGGAGGCAGGAAACTATACTTCCGATGGTGTTGTAGGCGAATTTCAGGAGCCAGAAGGCATCGTAGAATGCTGTCCGTTGTGTAATGCGAATCTAGCTGGTATTACTCCTGATCAAGCAACAGTTCACGTAAATGCTTGTCTAGATGGTAACCCGATACCTCTTCCGAAACCGAAACTAGAAGATCAGACGCCTTCGGAAACGGTAGATGGACCTCAGATTAGCAAGCGGTTTGCCAAAGCTGCCGTACCGCGACCCGGTCAAGCCAACCCGATCAGTGTCGGAAGCGCGGCAAATAAACCTACGTCGGCCTTCAGCAAGCTGATGTCGGGACACGCCGAAGATGCGGCATGGGCTTCGGCCGCAGCTGCGGAGCACGCCTCCCGAGGCAAACCTGCATACAAGCGAACATGTCCTTTCTATAAGATCATGCCTGGATTTTCTATCTGTGTTGATGCCTTTCGATATGGCGCTGTGAAAGGCTGCAATGCCTACTTTCTTAGTCACTTTCATAGCGATCACTACATTGGCCTGACAGCTAATTGGTCTCATGGACCTATATACTGCAGTAAGGTCACGGGCAGTCTTGTGAAGAACCAGCTTCGGACAGCGGCGAAGTGGGTAGTAGAGCTAGAGTTCGACGAGACAATTGAGGTTCCGGGAACAGAAGGGGTAACAGTCACCATGATACCAGCCAACCATTGTCCGGGTAGTTCGTTGTTTCTCTTCGAAAAGATAATCGGGAAAGGACCTAATCCGAGAAAGCAACGGATTCTACACTGCGGCGACTTTCGGTCTTGTCCAGCACATGTCCGCCATTCACTACTGAGGCCTAATATTGTCGATGCCGTCTCTGGCAAAGTCAAACAACAAAAGATTGATGTTTGCTACCTAGATACAACATATCTCAACCCTCGCTACTCCTTCCCCCCACAAGACGATGTTATTTCGACCTGTGCCGAATTCTGCAGGTTGATATCTGACGAGAACAGTGATACGGCTGAAATTTTAGATACGTTAAAGCCAGGGAAAGGCAAAGTAAGCAAATTTTTCAAGAAGGAAGAAAAGAGTTCGTCGTCCGCCACCAAAACAGAAAGCAACTCTCAAAAGAACCGTCTCCTCGTCATATGCGGCACCTACTCCATCGGCAAAGAGCGCATATGCAAGGCCATCGCACAGACGCTAGGAACCAAGATCTTCGCATCGCCAGCCAAGATCAAAATCTGCTCGCAGCTCGGCGACCCGGAGCTCGCGGCGCTCATGACGAGCAACCCGCTCGAGGCGCAGGTGCACATGCAGATGCTGACGGAGATCCGCGCCGAGACGCTGCAGGAGTACCTCGACGGGTACAAGCCGCACTTCTCGCGCATCGTCGGGTTTCGTCCCAGCGGCTGGAACTACCGGCCCGCGGGCGCTACGAAAAACACAACCACCGCCACCGCTTCCCCCACCAGCGTGCCTACCACCACGCTCCTCCACGGCCCGGCCTGGCGTCCGCGCTTCAAGCTGGCGGATCTCGCGGCCCAGCGCGGGAGCACCCGCGAGGCTATGTGCTTCGGCGTGCCGTACTCGGAACACAGCAGTTTCCGCGAGCTGGCGCTGTTTCTGATGGCGCTGCGCGTGGACAAGGTCGTGCCGACTGTGAATGTGGGGAGCGAGATGGGGCGGAGGCGGATGAAGGGGTGGATTGATAGGTGGCTTGGGGAGAGGAGGAGGGGAGGGGTTGTTAGGGTTTTGGAGGAGGAGGAGGAGGATGAGGGTGAGGGCGGGAAGGAGGGGGTTGAGCTTTGGGATGGAAGAGATGGGAAGGGCGGTGGTGTTTGGTGGTAGGGGGTTGGAGTTGGGGGTTGGCAGATGATATATGGATAGGTAGGTAGTGTGAAGTATTGGTTCGCGCTTCAGGGTATTATGTGACTATAATGATTCTTGGTTATTGAGCAGTGCTTTGTAGTTTGGTGTATATAGGGGCGAACCCGAACTAGAGAATGAATGCAATTACCTATCCTGACTAGATGGGATTTGTCCAAGTTATGCGGTATATGCATTTGGAACTTTTTGCCGCTGAAAGGATATCTAAGGTAAGGTAGTCGGTGTCTGAATATCGTCACACTTGAGCAGTTCAAGGCAATAAATCGGGATCATGGGTCAGAATTAGAAAACTACAACAGTCATCTATCTATATGAACTCATACCCATCCCTATTCGTGGTTATCATAACGACACTAATTATTTCTTTCCAGGTCTTCCAACGGCCTACTTAGGTTCGTTTTCCCCCTTTTCATAAGCAGAAGAACCAACGCGAGTGATCCATCCTTCTTTCACACCCCTATCTCTTATGCCATGTGTGTAAATAATATGGTATGCCTTCGGTCTCGCCAACTAATATCGACGGCGGTATTCTTGCTAACTAATTGACCCGTATTACCGTCATTTTTCTGACTGGACCTGCTGTGTCCTGGATCCCCTGGACATCATCTGCTCATTTCCCCTTACCGGCTTGCTGCGCGGCTTCTGTGGCGGTTGTTAGCCGTATGGTCTTGTTTTTTTTACCCGTTAATTCATAGAAGAGGGGAAAGTCAAGCAAGCCTGACTCTTGAGCATGGCAATGGAAGGAATGGAACTGGGATGGAATGAGAGCTGAGGGCTGAAGTACGAACCTCTTCTCGTTGCGTCCTCCAAAAGCGGCACGTCTACGGCTGCGGCGGGGAGATGGACGTAGCGAACGACTGAGCCTCGGATGAAGACATTTTTAACAGAGCTCTGTGTACACTGTTAGTAAAGGTGAAGTCAATATACACCTAGGGGTTTAGTAGGAGGGCTGGGTAGCTGTGGGTTATAGATCTGCCACGTCCCGGATAGCAATATATATGCTAGAGAGGGGAGAGAAGAGAATATAAGGACATAGATCGGATTGAACTTACCAGATGCGGATACTTGATCTCCTCGACAACTTGTATATCATCCAACTTAATATTGAGGTACTGATCGACGCTCTTCAGCGTGCCTCGGATCTGGATATCGTTCTTGAGCTCGACCGTCACCTCGTGGTCAATGAGCGTCTTGAAGAAACTATCCCATGCTCAAGTTAGCCCTTCATCCCTCCTGCGGTTTTTTTTTTTCCCCCTTTACACGTTTCCCTATTCCCTTCTATCTCTCTTCCACCCTCTCTCCCGATTCGCGAATAATTCACGTGACGAAGCACGGGAAAGCAAAGCAACGCTTACTCCCAAGCACAAAACAGAACCCGTTAACAAGACCAGCTACATAGCCCCTAGCGCAACTACATAGTAGAATAGCAACTCTGGAATTTTGACACCGCCCCTACATCACACCCAACTTCATGGGGAAAACGGGATATCTTCGGTCGGGGAAACTTGCTTTCTAAACTGCGGGATCAAGATAAAAAAATGTTGTAATTTAGAAACTTACCTAAAGAATAACATCTTAACAATTTACTATATCCTCTAGGGCTGGATGAAGGTCTGAAAATCCGAATGCCGCACCGTAGTTTGATGTAAATGCGATGCCCGATGTGTTTGATTTGCTAGAACAACTGGACTTCAAAGTCCCACTTCAAAGACGTATAAATAAAAGTGGAGTAGTATCCTACCTTTTATGTCACGTGACCAAAATTATTATTGAAAACCATCGTAGTCCTTTTTTTTTACATGTAGTAATTCCTTACAAAAAAGTTGATTTCGTCTACAAATCAAATAAATCACCATGCACTACATGAAAACATATGAAAATAGACAAATCAAACTCGTAAAAAGGCATTATTACGCATAACAATGTAACACACATGAGCGTATGGAAGTGTAAGTTATACTTCGTATTCCTTATATCTCTGTCCCTGTCATCCGGCGACGGATTACCATTGGAAAATCTATGTCCATCCCGTCATCCCTGCGTGGGGGTCCAGGTTCCAGCGAGATTCCTTTTTTTTTTCTTCCAATCTTGGCAGGGTTGACCATCATTTCTTGCTTTCTGTTTCTTTTTTTTCCCCTCTGCAGAGTTGTCTCTTGAAATCAACGCCACCCCTTCGCCTTACGCATCTTTGGTAGCCTGACCACATATGTGCGTGTCCGAGCAAAAATACACTCCGCCCTAAAATAGTAGACACGAACTAAATAAAAAGGGGAACTGAGAGAGGAAGATGAAGGGAAAAATAAAATCAACGGCAACCAGAGCTGGCGAATAAAGGGGGTATCCATCCGTTCGTCTCATTTCATTCCATGCAATCTTCCTCCCGTTCAGGCTTCCCTAGACCGTATCCTTCCCACCGAATGTGCCAAATATGCAATCGCATTTAAAAAAGATATTTCGATAAAAAAATAAAAGGAATGAAACATTATCGCGTGGGCGACGAAGAAATGGTTTAGGAAATTCGAGAACGAGTGTCCTGACGCCCCATTCATGTTCCACTCGTCAACTTTCGAGACCTGCGAGTCGCAGAGCAGCTCGCGCCGACCGGCCACTGAAAACCAGTCCCATTCAACACACTGTCCCAGCAAAATGACTCCCCTACTATGCTCCCATCGCCCGAAACCGGATATGGAAAGGTATAAGTAGTAAGAATCGAGCTTCTCGTAACGTCGTAACGGCTCACAAAACAAAGTGTCGTGTGGCTTGCAGCTTCTTTCAGCTATCATCTTCGGCGTCATCGTCTTCATCGTCATCAGGCGTCACCGGTTGCGTCTTAGCTTTCTTATTTGGCGCCGTGGAATTGGAGTCGGACTTCCTCTTAGAACCGGTTTTGACAGGCACCGTCTCGCCCACGCCGCCATCCTTATCCTCGCCTGTGGACCTATTCTTCTCAATCTCGGCTACCTCTTCCGCGGTTAAGAATCGCCCACCGGGACCTCGAGGTCTTCGCATCGCATGATTATGCCGAGACTCGTGAAGGTAAGGTTTCCTCCCTTTACTCGTCAGACGCAATGCTTCTTCTAAGCGTTGCCGGGCGACTCTCCTCTTGAGGATGCGGTGGAATTGCTTCGCGTTGACATATAACGGGGATTCTTCCGCACCTGCAGCTATCTCGGGCGATTGAGGCGGGGGCATGGATTGTGTCGGCGGCATTGGGGGAGGTGCGACGGCGGAACGGCCGCCAGTATGATTCATCATTGGCGCGCTCGGGACACCAGGGCTGGTAACCTGGCTTAGGCGTCGTCCGGGCAGTTGATTCACATTATTCAGCTGCTGGGGTGATCGAGGGTCGCGCGAGTCTTTCTTCCCTCCGGACGTCATCCTCGGCGAATTTTGAGGAAGGCTAGGATCCGATGGCATGTATGATGAATAGCCCGTTCCACCGGCAGCGGCAGCGGTCGCGGCCATGGCAGCCGCCTGGATCTGGGGTACTCCGTAGTGCATCCCCTGCTGGGGCACGCCGTACTGAGTTTGGTACATGTTGTGTCCTTGTCCCGGTGTCGAGGTTTGGTGCTGCGATGGTAGGATTGGCGAAGTCTGAACGCCGTGTTGATGTATGCTGTGACTCGTTGGGGACGTGATGTTGTTCCCAGGACCAGAATTTGTGTAACCAGAATGCGCCGACTGTGGTGGTTGCTGGTATTGCGCGTAGTCCATCATTATCGGGGACAGGTAACGCGCGGGGCGGCAGGGATTTTGCAATACCCAAACGTCGATGCCTCTTGCGATGCGAATCAGAGACGAGCGGGTAGGTCTAATAATAAAAATTCGTTGGCCACTTAGAAGATACTAGCGGTACAGGCTCTTTGCTGAGATGATGAAAATTGAGACCGTGCTCAAAGCTCGGCTTGGGTTGCCTGATGTCCTTGAGATAAAAGGCTGTAAGGTTGGCTACAGTTGGGCATACGCGTTGGGATAGCCCTTGATCTCTTAGGTAGCCGCGAAGTAGGCTGGATGTGCATCCAATCTATTGGATATGCGCGGATGAGCTGGCAATGAATGATGTGGTAGGTGCACGCAGATGGTCGCACCAGGGCATATGCAAAGCGAATGTATCTCGCGGGGTGGGATCAGTGCTCCAGATCCTAACAAAGACGGAAACTCGACAACCACGTGAGAATCCGGGGGATACGTGAGCCGCTGTGAGGCTATCCAATTCAATGAGCCTATGATAATGGTTCTGCGGGAGCGGGTAGCCTAGCTAAACAGCTCAAGGTTGTTCTCAAGGCCTATTCGTAACGACCGTTTGGTTGTGGAGATCTATCCAACCAAAGATATTAGACATTAGATTCGCCTTGTTAAGTATAAGGAAAGCTCGGATGATGGGAGGGGGGGTGGAGGGGGTGAGAAATCGTTCTTTTTTCGCGCTGGGCCACCACTTGATGCGCTGGCATGCATGACGGAATATGCATAGACTGGGCCCCACCCTGTCGACCAGCTCACACAGAGCGACAGGAGATCCAACTCGCATTGCCCAGCAAGTGGCGCAAGGCAAAGGCTGCCCGATTGCCAGAGCTTGCGAGGAGAGCCCGTCTTACGCCATAGGAGCTAGGTCATCCAAGCTCTATGCGATGTTGTTGTAAATTTCAAGGCTGCATCATGGGCAATTGGCCAAGAAGCATATGCGTTTCTCGAACACATGCAACGTACATATATGTAGCTCTTTTAGGAAGAGGTAGTGGATTGCTAGCCACACCAAGGACAGAAAAAGGTGTGCGAGAGAAAAGGGACAAGGAAGGAAAAGGAAAGGACCGAGATGAGTTACGCAAGAATGAATGGTTGGTGCCTTGGGTGGGAAAGTTTGCAACTCGAAGAGGGTATATCCGATCGTCAAGCCTTCCCTCAGTAGGAAAGAGACGGGATGGGTGTGGTTGCGGTGAGAATGGTGTGTGGATGTATCGTTGCAGGCGGGCAGATGGGGGATAAAGGGACAGGCGGCGTAAGTGTGCGAAATACATGAATATTGTACATACCTTTTTTTGGCAGGTTCCCGAGTACTTGGGTTTAACCTACGCAGGGTGCCGGACTGACGGGACCAGTCGCGCCTATGTCGCAAAAAGATGTTAGTAGACCAATTCAAGAGAAAGAAAATGAATGAGTAGCAATTATATGAATTGGACTGGAGCGACAATTGCTGTTATGCTTAAGAGGGAATAATGAACAAGAACATTAATGAACAGGTGCATCCGAGGGAACGATGTACCATTCTGGGGTAAGCTTGCGACAACGTAATATATGATCAAAAATAGCTGGGTGTAGCTATAATACCAGGATTGTGGTGGCTCGGAGTTGTTTGTGTAGGAAGAAGCTAGCTAACACGAGCCGGTGTGGAAGACAGTGTATGATGTAAGGTAGGTAAGGTAAGGTAGATAGGTAGGTAGGTAGGGGGAACATACCAAGGGGAAAAGGGCGAATAATTAATATCGCGCCTCAAGATCTCCCCGCGTCCGAGGAAGCTTTCAGAAGCGAGAGCTACGAGGACAGTAATTGTAATCTGATTGAGCCGAGGAAATTTTGACAATTGTTATCCGCAGATAGCATCAATCACCTGATGAGTAGGTAGAGCCAATGGCAATAATGAAGTTAGTTTTGTTGACAGTGATAGGCCTCTGTATCTATTCGCGAAGGGGTTAGTTATATAGCAGGCATTGAAGAGCTCGATGATTTGCTGGATCCGAGTGGGTTTCTTGTCGCCTTTTTGCGCTGAAGCGCTTACTGGCTAGAATCGTTTCTTGGACATATCCCGTTCGATATTGGCTTAGACTTTTTAAGAAAAGAATAAGAGACCGCAAAGGGATACGGGAATTTGTCTCATGCTTATGAGGACAAAGGAGGGAAAAAATAGTAACCGGAGGAAACAATACGCGCCGTACCTTAAGGATGTCTTGCGACACTTTGCTCTGGCCGTGGTGTAAGTTAGTTGTATGTAAGTCGTATACAACACGACGGGCTTTGTGTACACACACGAGGGCTGGCCGGTTAGAGTGAAAAGTATCAGTAGACTCTTGCGGTCGCGCGCATAAGAGTCTCTCGGCGCGTCAATCTGACAGCACTGCCTACAATAGGAGTATCAGAGTCGGCAGGCGGCTATGCAGATAGTCGCAGATAGTCGCAGATAGTTGCAGACAAAGTTGATATATAGCGAAGTGTAGCGCGTCGCTCCTGGTTGGCTGTATTTTTTTTTTGTGTTCTATATGCTCCAGTTTGTGCTTGTCTTTGTACCTGGATGCTGGATCTTTCAGGTGACCAGAAGAATGTGACTGGACAGATAGGATTGAGTGCGGAACCTGTCAGCCCAGATAATGCGGAGCGGATAAATGTTGGACGGGATCAGTATAGAGTTATAAACCAGGGCACCGGAAAAGGCTCAATTTGATTCGATGTTTTAGAAACAGACTTTCTGGGAGCTGTTTGGATGAAAAAAGACAGAGCGTGGAAGGAAGGCCAATTGATTCGATGAATTTTTTAACAAGTGGTGGACCAAGAGGGGATTGATTGGTGAGAAATGGACAGAGGCAAGTAAAAAGTGAGGGAAAGCGAGCCCAGAGGACCCCGACGTTTTAATGGGGCTGCATTTGTGACTAATCAGCTGCCTTGTTAAAATCTGCATTGTGGGCCGTTATGGATCGATGTGGATCGGTGTGGATCATTTAATTGCCCCGCTATTGTGCCAACGTAGGGATAGACACACTGTGATTGCAAGAACAGCCCTGTTACCGCTGAATATTTCTGTGGCGCCTGGGGCTGAGGGTGATTTTTTTGGTTGCTCGCTTCCTTTGCTGGTTTTAGCTTTTTGCAACGTTTTATTATTATTACATTGCCAAATGCGACTTATTTTCCTTTCATCACATCTGTAATATGTATAAGTCGCGTCGTGATTGCAAGGTTCTAATATTTCCTCATATGATCTTAATGCATCATATAATTACGGCATACGGTACATACCTAACCAACGGGACTTTTTTCTCATCGGTACTACACTACTACATACGCTACATACGTAGTGTAGTAAAATAAAAAATAGAAAATAAAAAGACAACCTTAGACCTGGATGCGGTGACAAATGCTTTCTTGTAAGCGTCGGAACCGGTGGCTAGGTCTCTAATGTATTGTATGTATTATTGTACCTAATTGTTCTCTCTCCAAAAAAAAACCCCCCAGCCCCCCTCTCTTCGAGACTTATCCTTACGTACTCCGCTTGACGTGTCAGCGGCTTATGTCAATTTACATAGTACAGGAGAATCATGCTTGACAGGGATAGGCCCATCTTTCCAAGTCCTTTCTTTCTAAGTCCCCATGCAGAACTTTACAACTGCACACTCTGACACTGCACATTGCAGTGCATCTCTCGTGTACGGTACTTCGTACATGAATACTACTTCTTCTCATATAGCGGCACCTAGAAGAGCTTAGCAAAGGTACATTACACACATACTAGTTTACCTCATTACTTTACCTGCCTTACGAGTTACACTATTCCTGCAAATGGTGAGATTCAGCGGGGTTTGGCTTAATCATGGGTAACTTTCGGCTTTACCAAGAACCAAGGATAGATGCCGGTCAGTGGACACTCCAGGCGGCAGACCAAACTGACCCAGGTCCTGGTGATAAAATATCCTCTCTCCTTTCATTATACGGAGCTCGGTAACCAGGTAAACATCGTCACTAGCAATTAGTTACTTTGGTCACTTCTACCATTTTATCTACAATTCGAACTCGGCGCCATAATGATGACCCTTACGTCGAGGATTTCCGCGTCTATCCCCAGATCGACGCCAGCATGGCAGATGATCATTGTGGCGTGTGGCGACAGTTGTTATTTATGCTAAGCATCCCGGCCTATATTATACTGTACGCTACATAGTACGTTGCAATCCAGCCGTAAGACGAAGAAGAAACTTGGCTCACGGACGACGCCCTAAGACCACCGGAGCTCGAGCTCGAGCGCTATAAGTCTAATAATAGGTCACTCCTCCATTCAGCGTCCACGTACCCACGCGATGCGCATATCCATTTCTCTGAGGATGTAGTATAGCAACAAGAAAAAACCAAGAAACCGACAACGTTCTTGTTTATCTACGACTTTCAAACTCCTACCTAGCTTTACACGTCACGGAGAAGTTGGGGCCGTCTAGCTCTGTTCGGAAGCAGTACGAAGGGATCTTAGGCCAGGCGGCTCCAACACTATGCGCACTTTATCTGCATGTCAGCAATCACAGTGTGGAATTATGCCACACGAACGGAGATACTGTGAAACTGGCTACCACACAACATGTCCTCATCAAGTGGATGCATCATTCTGACGGTGAGAGAGAATAGTGGCGGGCGGAGCCTATTCCCCTTCTCGCTCAAGCATCAAAAGTCCGTTTGCGCGCCGACCCCTCTAAGCACCGAGGTATATTCAGTATAGAAAAGTCGGTGTAATGAGACATTGTAGTAACTTGCTTTAGACCGAGATCCTAGAAAGGTTGATTTTTCTTCCGTTAGGATCGATGTTGTCGTCACTAGAGATAAAAAAGAAGGACTAAGTTGATTGGAACGAGGCGGTAAACTACAATTCTTACAGGGGAGGCGTTACAAGCCAGGGTTCGAGAACTTGATTTACGCTCAATTCGCATCGTGAGTGGTTGGAAATTCTACCCCGTATGAATTTTGTGACT